CGAAATATCGCAAATGTACATATCGCAATATGCATATCGCTACAGCTTGCAATATTTGGGGCCATGAACAAAAGACAAAGAGAAAATCACTCACTGCTCTTACCTAAATAACTTTTGTAGCTTAAATAAGAATCAGTGCATATTGAATTCAAAGAGGAAATACTAAGCAGTGTTTTATTTTTCCTTTTTATTATTCAGTTCCTAAACACATGTTAAAATGATTACACTAATGTTTGAAATTTTGACATTTTTCAAAGTTGAAATTTTTATGTAATGCTCGAGTAAAACACTCCCGTTCACTTTCAGAAGTTGTTGTAGGGGGGCTTTCTTATTAGAATCAAAATCAGAATGAGTTTTATTCACCACTTAAGTGGGCGCAAACACAAGGAATTTGTTGTGGTTTTACAGGAACTCTTGGTACACGCATACATACATACAAATAACCATATATATATATATGACACAAGATAGTTATAGAAGTTCACAGAACTGACTCAGCAACAGCTGAGTAAAACTGTTTCATCTGAGCATGTGGCACTTTTGAAGCATTATCGTATCGCATATCGAATATCGCATTATTTAATGAGTTATCGCATATCGTATTTTTCTTCAATATCGCACAGCCCTATTCACAATTATTAGAATGTGCATGCATTGCACTGCACTTTTTCAACAGTTACACTGGCATTCCTCTCCTTTTAATAATTTAAGGTAAATTTAATAAACAATTGTATAAAACAATCCCTTAATAAGAGATCTAGGAAACATTTTCAAAAAATCTGATTTATCTACAGAAATGAAATTATATTGTTTGGACCACATGGTTCAAACTGAGGTAAATTTCTAAATAAATCATAGTAATCCATTTTTTGACAGATAAAAACATTGTTCTTGGCACATGATGCACAAAAGTGCTCTGAATGTGCTGCGGTGCAATGATATTTGCTAGCTAAAGCCGCTGTTAAACATTTTTGCAAATATCTTCAACTCTGTAACATTCAATCGCAAAACATTTTAATATTTTTCAAAAATGAACATATTTTGATTTAATTTAAAATAATTTATTACAAGGCACACTGAAACTAAGTGATACTTATAATTTGAATAGATAACTAACTAGTAAATTTAAGTACTGTGATGAGATTTAGCACCTTAGGTTTGGGTTTTTAATACATTTTTTGCTGGTCTGTAACCACATATTTATGACTGGAAATAACAGTTTAAGTAATAGTGTAACTATTGAACCCATACTCACATATAAACCCATATTCGCTGACTGCTAAATATTAATATTATTTATTATATAAACTAATGACAGTTTTATGATAATGATTCCCATGAATCCATCCATTAATTTCTCAAATACTTAGAAAACATATAATGTAATTTATTCCTTTGGTTAAACCCCATACAGATGTTCATCACATTAAAAACATACACATGTGGATTTCTTCCATTCTGGGCGACCCATCAAAGCTTAGCTTATTGTGTTCATTTCACAGGGATCCAAAATAGAAGCTGAAACCATATCTGAGCCCTTTTGATCAGGAACAGTTCAGTAGCTCAACCAGCAGATGTAGCCATTGATGTGTCTTATGAAAACACAATCCAATAAAAACATCAGGTTACCTTTCCCTTGTAAGTCTCATAAAAATCCCTTATTCTGTGCTCATGGATTTAAAATGTGCTTCCTTCAAACGCCATTCCTGGCATGTAGTAGAAGTTCATTCACGTCCTTACAAAAAAAACACAATCTGTTTCCTTGACCATCACTAGGGTTCCAGCAGAGTAGAGTCCCATTGGTTTGTGCTGATGAAGGGAGGGGCCACAGGTACAGGGGGCGGAGCTTTCATCTTGACGTACTTCCAAGGAAAAACAGGGAGGATGGAAAGGAGTGGAGGGAATGATCATCTATAATAATAAAGAGTTCATGAGCAGCCACAGAGGTTATCATAGAACCTGTGTGAGGATGATGATGAGGATGATAATGAGCACCACAGCACCAATCACACCCAGTATGATCATCTTCTACAAGAGACGAAAAAAAACCATGATCCATTAATCCAAAAGCAACCATCTAAAGTTTTCAACACTTAACCACCATAACAAACAACAGAGCCTAACAGAGAACATAGAAATGAACTCCACAGCCAAACCAAAGGATGCTCAGGAGATCCCAAAGCCCAGAGAAAGCATGCTTTACATCCCTGAGGAAGACTAGAGAAGATCAGCTAAAATCCCGGTCACCAGCTCCATGTCTGCATAACATCAAGCACCCACACCATTCCCAGTTCCCAAACCTTACACATGTTCCTCTGAAATGTACTCACCAGAGCCTTTATCTCAGACCTACAGATAAACCCACTATCAAAGCAATAACTGCCAAAACCGCCAAAACCACAGACACTATAATAATGATTTTCTGTGAGGAAACACACATACAAACACATCTGTTAGCATCTACTTTACCATTTGAGTAACAAATAAACAGCTCACTCAGATATAAAGACACAACATCCAGTCTGGTCCAAAACATGATCTTTGATGGAAAGATATTCATATATGAATTCCAAACCAGTAAGATCTTCGTTTATCTTCAGAACACAAATGAAGATATTTTTGATTAAATCTGAGAGCTTTCTGACCCTCCATAGACAACAATGCAACTTACACGTTCAAGGCCCAGAAAGGAAGTAAAGACATCGTTAAAATAGTCCATGTGACATCAGTGGTTCAACCTTCATTTTATGAATCTACGAGAATAATTTTGTGCACAAAAATAATGACTTTATTCATCAATTTCTTCTCTTCCATGTCAGTATTTGACGCGCGTTCACGAGAGTACCACGACGCATGCGTGTGCATTTCTTTGCTTTTGAAGAAACTTGAATAAAGTCGTTATTTTTGTTTTCTTTGGACACAAAAATGTATTCTCGTAGCTTCATAAAATTACAGTTGAACCACTGATGTCACATGGACTATTTTAACAATGTCTTTACTACATTTCTGGGTCTTGAACGTGTCAGTTGCGTTGCTGTCTATGGAGGGTCAGAAAGCTCTCTTTCATCAAAAATATCTTCATTTGTGTTCCGAAGATGAACAGAGGTCTTATGGGTTTGGAACGACATGAGGGTGAGTAATTAATGACAGAATTTTTATTTTTGGGTGAATTATACCTTTAATGTCTAGAAAACTATCATTGAAGATTCCAAAAATATATTCACATTTAAAAAGAGGAAAGAAAGAAAGAAAGAAAGCAAGCTTGTGCGCCACTCATCATATTCATCATTTTCAACCCAAATTACTTTCTTAATATGATGTATTTCCAGATGAACCTCAGGGAATCTCAGAATTTGTGTCTTCATCTTTGATACGCAGTTTCCAAACATCTGTATTTTGTACATCTTGGTCTTGGTTTACATTCCACGCACAATAAACCTTCATGTTTAATCATAACTTGTTGCAGTTTTGATTAATTGTATTACTTTTGTATTCTTTGTAGCACTTTTGTTCATGCCTCAATATGTAACTCTTAAATAAATTTGTATATAATTTTATGATCACTATACATTTAAAGGGACAGTTCACCCAAAAATTAACTTTCTGTATGACTTTCTTTATTCTGTGCAACATAAAAGATAATTTGAGAATAATTATCATTTTGCCCATACAATGGAAGTCAATGGGATCCAGTGCTGTTCGGTTCCCAACACTCCTCAAAATATATTATATTGTGTTCCACAGAAGTCATACAGGTTTGAAACGACATGAGGATGGGGTAAATGATGACCGTTTCCATTTCTGGGTGGAGTGTTCCTTTAAATTTAATATGAAAATCTTTTGTACCTGAACAATGACAATAGAGAAGTAGTTTCAGAGCCGGAGTATTTTTATACACATGCATGTGTTTTCTGTGATTTTATCTGTATAAAGCGGCAAAAAGACCGAAATTGTTACAAACCCCTGACTTCATGAATGGAGGTGACAGATCAACCAATGCTAACTTTCGCTTGAATCAAAACAAGCAGGTATTCCTCACATTTTAACAGAGAACAGCTTTGTTAAAATGTGTCCTTCTCAGCTGTGTGTGTAAACATTTTGTTGCTGTTATTATGTCATGAAAAGTGAACACGTGTGGCTTAACATTGTTTTTTCATCACCTGAGATACACTGGAAGTTTCAGGGCGTATCAGGATTAGTAATAATCACTGGGTTTGTTTGTGTGCGTGTGACGTGTGACGTCAGCGGGTTCGGACACAGTAAGGAGAGGCAGGGCGGGACGGAGGGGCAGGTGGGGGGCAAAAACAGAGGAGAAAAGAAACAGCAGAAGCCACATTGACTGTTACAGTGAGGTCCGTACCTTCCGGGCTTTACTCTGATACCTGACTGCTTTCTTGGTTTCAGTCTTTGCCGCTTCAACGTGATCGACTGCTTTACCTACATTCACCTCAATGTTATCAACCATGTTGCCCTGAAACATAAAAAATATAGGGAAAAAAAAGAAACATATGAAAAACACATACAGGGTGTCTTTATCTCTAAAAAAAAATACATATCTACAAATATATATACCCAGGTGCACCATGCACACATACAGAGGGGGAGGCCGGGGCTAGTTGTCACACAGGAATTCTGAAATTGGTCTTAAAGAGGTAGTTCACCCAAAAATTGTGTTTTCTGTGAAACATAAAAGAAGGTATTTTGAAGAATGTTTGTAACCAAACAGTTAATGGTAAGGAGAAAATTACTATGGAAGTCAATAGGGACTAGAAACTGTGTGGTTACTCACATTTTTCAAAATAGCTTCTCTTATGTTGAACAGAAGAAAGAAAGATATACAAGTATGAAAAAATTTAAGGGTAAGTAAATGATGACAGAATTTTCATTTTGGGATGAACTATCTCTTTAAGCAGTCAATGTGTTAAAAGATCTTTTTTATTTTCCAGGGCAAAAATGATAAACATGTTCAATATATCTTTCTAGTCAGTACTTTGGCTATATAAAAATTGGCTTTTAAAACCAAACCCGCCCTGATTCATTGGAGTAAAAAGAGTGACAACTAGCCCCGGTCTGCCTTATTCAGTGTTGACACTCTGTAGAACAAGGACATGAATAAAATGAATTTTCTAGGGAAATACTAGAAGCTTACCGTTCAGTTTTTTCTCCATAGCAAGCAGTTAATAAGCAAAATAACGGTGGATTGGTTAATAATTTATCAGAACTCTTTAGATTGTGTTGAATTAGCTCTGCTCCAAAACCTAGTGAACTGCCTCACTGTTTATAGTCTACACAGACAAACTGAAATGAGCTAATAAGTGATTGATTTGAAATGCATCTGATGGGCCGCAACCCAGTTAAACACTGTTTATGCACAAAATATGCAATACCATTCAAAAGTCTGGGGCCAGTAAAACACTTTTTTTAATAAAGCAATGATGCATTAAATTGATCAAAAGTGATTTACAAACTATTTGTGTGTCAAATAAATGCTATTATTTTGAACTTTATATTCATTAAAGAATCATGAAGCAGCACAACTGTTTTCAACAATGATAATAATAAATGTTTCTTGAGCATCAAATCAGCATATCAGAATGATTTCTGAAGGATCATGTGACACTGAAGACTGGAGTAATGATGCTGAAAATTCAGGTTTGATCACAGGAATAAATTATATTTTAAAATATATTTAATTATTTATTTACATCTTTAGGTATTTTAAATTGAAATAATATTTTACAAATCGAGGTATCTTATATAAAGAAATATAATTTAAAACATCATCTAGTTGTGCAGCTCACTAGGTTTTTGGAAAAGAGCAACTGACTTTCATTTCTTCTAATCAAGGTGAAGGTGTAATGGGTGTATAAAGTTTGTGACCAAATAATGTAAATGAATGAAAGGAAAACAGACAGTAAGGGAAATAAAAAGGTCATGCGAACAAAGAGGACAGTTAGAGAGCACTCACATGTGAGAGACAGGGCTGATGGGAAGTCAGTCCGACCAGCTGCATACGGCTTAGCAACCAACAGAACAAGTTTGAACAAAGAGGAAGAGAGACAAGGATGCTACAGACAGAGAGAGAGAGGCAGAGAAAGACCAGGAAATGCATGACAATGAGGGGGAAGTCAGAAAACACTGACAGTATGAATGGAGATTGAAGGAGAAAAATGATGGACAAGCAGATGCGTGATGAACAGAGGAGAGTACCTGGCTCTCCACCAGCATGGCGATGTCCACAAACATGTCATGCAGCTCCTTTATGCTGCTCTCCAGACGCACAATGTCTTTGTGACGTGCTTCAATCTCACTCAGTGCTTGTTTGGAGATCCCTGAATCCACAATCTACAACACAAACGGCGGATTTATCACGCTGTAGCATGAATATTCACATTCAACAAATATATTGAAAGTGTGGGGAGTTTTGCTCAGTTTAGAGCACATTATCACAGGAAACGGTCACAGGATCCAGTAGAGATGGAGTCTAGATCTTGTGGTCTTGGTTTTGAGACATTAATGTGGCCTGAGTCTCATTATTTGATGTCCAGGGGCCGGTTGAATAAACTGTTTAGACTAGTCTTAAAAGTTAGCCATCTAATTTTTTTTCTTCAAGACTGGTCATAACTTTTTTAATTCCATTATGAAAAGGCAGATTGGTCTTATTTGTATTGGAAGAGTAAGATTGATTACCCCTTGGCAACTGCTATTTGGTCAAACTAGTTCTTAAGACACAGTCTTAACATGGTGGCTAAGTTTATGCAACTGGCCCCAGGTCTGAGTCTCAATATGGTCTAAGACAAAGGTCTCAGATTCAAATTACCACTAGCCAAGTGGTGTTATGACCAGTTAAACGGTTACAACAAATACCTCAGAGGGAACATTACGTTAAAAGCAACATGCTACATCGTTACATTGTTATTTCTAATATAAAGTAACCATTTGCACTACATTTGACTTCATATGAAAAGTAATGTGTTATTTGCATTACATTTGCATTATAAAGTGTGTAGGTGGGCTACTTCTCTACTGCTGTGAAGTCACCACAAAAGCTGCTTTGAAGTAGCTTTAATGCTAAAAACTTTTATTTTGGATGCGATTAATCGTTTGACAGCACTAGCTATAAGATAAGGGTGTATTTACACAGCAAGCACAATCACAGGAAACAATGAATAATTCAAATGTTACATTCAATACAAAATATCGCTTCCTGTGATGATTCATATCCCAGCTAGAGTGCACATATTTTAATACAGCTTATATGTTGCATTAGAGGTGGACATTATGACCAAAATCTTATTTTGTGCCACTTTAAATCCACAATGTCAAGAATTTTTACAATTACAAAAAATAATTACAATTAAATTACATATTTAATCCTAACTATATTTTTTATAACTTTAATTATAATTTTATTGATATCAAAATAATAATACATGTTACTGATTATTATAAAACGGTTAGTTCCAGTCCTCGATTCTGATTGGTCAGCAGCTGTGTTTTATTCACGATACAGCACGGCTATGACCGCTTCACCCAACAGTTCTGTGTATCACTGAGCAACACCCTTAGCAACAAAAACAATCAATAATATAGCATAAAAACTGTTCCATGTATTATGTATTTCGGCAAAATGAACGGTTTGTTGTTTATTTAATGAAGTATGCGTGACCCCTGCTGGTGATGTTGCATCTTTCATCTTTATTTCTGAGACCACGCCCTTCCCCGCCTAATAAAGTAAATGCTTCTCATGCGGAGATATGTTGATGTGTATGCGTGTCTGTGTGAAAGCCCACAGTTTCTGAAGAAAGAAGGGAATATTACTGTATTTATTAGTTTTCTGTTTCAGGTATGGTTCTGTATGTCCATATGTCCATCAATTTACACTGTAATGACGCTTGCAAACTCGCGCTGTGCCGCAAATCGGTCTGTTTTAAACTAAAAGATGGAAAACAGACATTTTCTGCTGAGAGACAAGCAGATGTATGTGTGCGAGAAAATATCATACATGGTGTTAAAACAATAAATGACACCGCGGATGATAAGAGCTCCTATTCTCTGTTGCTGTCAGGAACTACTTTTTTTTTAGCGGAAGGACAGCATTTAACGAACTTGCTTCAAATAAGTAACATATCAATACATAAATTTTGTTATTCATATTTTTTATTGTGTGGTAACCGTTTTATAAAAGCAATAAGGTACTCGAGGCCATGCTGTATTGTGAATAAATCACGGCTGAAAAATAATAACATTTCAGAATTCCAGAAATTTTAAGAGATGAATGTTATTCAGGAATCCTGTTCTTATAAACAATAAATTTCCATGACGTTTCCAGTTATTTGTGATTTACTGGATAGGGATTTAAAAATATATATTTTTACTCACAGTTTCTACCCAATAAAATATTTTAAATGTTGGTATAATAATAAAAAAAAAAAAAAAAGTGTATTTGTTATTTTTTTTTAAATGATTCAGTTTTAAGATTTTCAGTTTTTTTCTCATTTTACCTGACTTTTTCAGGTCTAATAATCACGCTTTTTTATATTTTTATTTAATCATATATATATATACAGTGGGTACGGAAAGTATTTGGCTGCAATATAACAAAGAGTGAAAAATTTAAGGGGGTCTGAATACTTTCCGTACCCACTGTATATCTTTCCTTCCATTCATAGCGAAAACCCTTGAATGAGTTGTTTTCCACCAGGTATCATTGTTTCTTTCACAGAACAACAAACTGGACGCTAACCAGTCAGGTTTCAGGAGCGGCCATTCAACTGAGACTGCGCTACTGTCAGTCACTGAAGCCCTGCGGACTG